AAAAAAAAAAACAGGATTCAAGAGTTAACTTGACCATCCCAAAGAAAAATCAGTGAAGTTATTCATCGGATTTAAAGAGAAGAAGAAAAAGAAATACCAGCAGCATGCAACTAAGCTGTGAAATATAACACGGAACTGAAGCGGCATGTACTGATGATTTATCCACCCTACCGCAGGCCAAAACTGAATAAAATAATATACCAAGTGCTCAGTTTTAAAATTTCCCCTTAAAATCACCATTGGGAAGATAGCGAGCATACCATCCATGAAGTGAGCTGCACTGAGGGATACTCTTTCTTAATTTTGTTCTTTACTTGTGGCCAGGGTCTTCCTGCAGTGCAGGATGGTATCCAGGTAAAGCAAATTAAACAGTTGGGATAAGGTTAAAGATGGTGCTGAATTTTTCAAAGCAAGTAATTTTTGTTAAGCTCAAATTGTTATAGAAGTAGGGATGACAATAGCCTGCAAATAGGATTTGGCTGATTTTGGTAAGAAAACGCATTTAAAAATAGTGAATTTTATATATTTCATCATTTGGCCAGTTGTACATCTAAATTTGCTATGCTGAGTGTGAACTAATTCATGTGCTACTAATAAGTTCAAAATATTTCCTATTGTGATCATAATAACAACTAAAACTATTGTCTTATTCAATGCAACCTTCATCATATTGGTTAAAATAGCTTGCAAGATAGTTACATAAAAAAAATTACACTTCATTCTTGTCTTGGCTGCGATCGTATACGTTCGCATTATGCTGGCGTAATTCGTTATGCTGAGTGTGTTCATGTCAAACATTTATCTGATACAAACACAAAAGGCTTTTTGATGTGATCATGATTAAAAAGGGAAAGCTCTGAAATGGGAGGATCAATAGATCATGGAGCTCATTTTTGTCTAACAAAAAGAAAAACATAAGGGAATGGAAAGAATGAAAAGGTTGATTGGAATGAATGGATTGAATAAATGGAATGGAGTGATATGTATGCCTCGTTCGTGTTGAGTTATTCCTTCAAGCTTGTAATGATGTTAAGAGTTTAAATTGAGAACTCATCTTATTAATAAGGTTCTGCATGTGGTGTGCAACATAGTACAAAGAAGTATTTCATTTAGGAGGATAAGAATCTCTGTTAAGAGATTTTTGTGCTAAGCAAGGGCTACCCAAACATTTTTGTATAAATGGTAATGAATTTCTCCTTCATTTTATTTTGACAGTGATACAAAGCTTTCTAACCAAGAACTATATGATCAAGAGCTCATTAAGTGATAAAGCCATCATTGATGAATTTTTTTAAATTTGAGGCTTAAGGTTTTTTATGATGCATAAATGTTCGATATTGTTTTCTCGAGTGAAGCCAATGTTGCTATTAAAATGCATGGAAGATGCAAGCCAAATGTCGGTTGCAAATGTTGGGAGAAACTACTCGAAAAAATCTCCTTCTAGTTTCACCGCGGAATAGGATCACAAGATTTGAGAAAATCAGAATAATGATTTTAAAGAAAAAAAAAAAATTAAAACGATCAGAAAACACACGAGAATTTTACATGGAAAAACTCGAGAATGGGAAAAAAAGACGGAGCCACACCACCTTAAATTCACTAAGAAAAAAAAATAGTTTAACAAAGGACCCACACATGTTTCTGCTCCACACTCACACGAAGAAACTTACAGGATGCTCCACAATCTTTTTTCTCCGATCTAACGCAAACAACACAGACCAAAATCCCAAAAATCATCCTCTCTGACTCTTCTCTCATCGACCGGAAACTTGTTGAAGAAAACCCAAGGAATACCTACCCCCAACACACCATTACATCTCTCGAAAATGATTTAAAAGCCCAAAAAGCGGAGTAATTGCACCGGGCGCAAAAGCACCCATCGCTTGGGTAAGAAAAAATCGCTCTCAACAAATATGGGAGCAAATGCGCCCCCTTCTCAATTAGAGTCCAAATGTTGGGCGCTTTTCTCAATCTGGTTTGGGTGTTGTAGGCTCCACAATCACACAGCAAAATAGTTTGAACTAGTTTGAGACTTCACATATCACTCATGGGTGGAAGATCTTGAGATTCAAGCTAGGTCTAGATCTTTGAGAAGAGAGTTTCCTAGGTGTTAGCTCTTCACTACAATTTTCAATCTCTTTTGAGTGCACCTGAGGGATCCACTAAACTCTGCATTCAGTGATGATTGTTGCATGTACATCAATTCCTAAGGAAAACCAAGTAATATCTCATTTAAAGTCTATAAAAAATACACTTATATAAGAATTAATCATTGATTATTGAAGTTAACACAATTGAAGAAATAGTCGTTTATGAACATTCTTTTGTTGATGTATTTAATACAAAATATGATTTGCAGTTATAATAGGAGGTTACATTGAAGGGCTTTGACTCTAAATTTGAATCCACATCTAACCATATTCACAAAAATGAATCCATACTTAATCAAAACGCTAAAACTTGAATCTGCAGCTACAATGGAGCATAATCATGACCGAACCAAAAAAAATTATGAAACTTTAAAATATGTTTGAATGGTATAAACTAAATAAACTATATATGATAAAATTGATGAATCAAATGAGCAATCTGAAAATGCAACTTTTCACAAGCAAAGGGTGATGTGAAACAAAGCCCATCAAGGCAAAACACTTAATACTCTACATTTATTGTTAAACACTCGGAAGTCAAACAACTAAATTAACATATCAAATGCCATTAGATTAGATTCTTCGAGTCCAGATTAAATGCTTAAACAAACCACATGAGTTAAAATGATAGTTTGCAGCTGAGAAAACAATGGAGTTAGAAACAAAATTGAAGAAACTTATCTACATAAAAAAAATAGAAATTCATGGAGAAATATTTATAGGATAACACCACATTTGCATGTCATTCAAACAAATAAGTTCATTTAATCAAGAAAACTTTCAAACTGGGTTGTTGTGTTCTCTAACAGTCATAGGAGGTGCAGGAGTTTTAGATCCTTATGGTGGTAGCTTGCTATTGATGAGATTGATTTTACTATGTTAGGAAAACCGAACACAAAATACCCTCATGTCAACACAATGTTCTGCAAACAGAAAATATTTGTGCCGGTATTTCAATACTAGCTTACTTTAGCAATTAAGATTATCATCTAGGATGTGCAAATACATTGGTCCAGAAAACATACCCTCGACAATCAAACCATAGTATAGCAAGAAGAGAAAATTGTTCCATGGTGAGGATGTCACCTGCTCGAGCAATACCTGCAAATAAGCAGAATAAAAAATTGAATCTGTTGGGTGAATAGTTAATTCTGAAACAAATTAGCTAGATTTGTATCATCATAACCTCAACATTAGACTTACTCCAATTATTTATATTCAGCTTTATAAATAGCCATTAACGAATTTTGTAATAGGTGTTAATCCATTCTACACAAATTCTTTTGTTTTTTATGCAACTTATGTTTGGTGGATATTTCTTTCTCCCTAATCATTCAATACTAATTTGATCTGCCAATCTCAAAGCCATTTTCAACTTTCATTGAGTATATGTCCAAACCACCTAAGACAATTATGCACTACCTCATCTTCTATCAATATTACTACCACCATTTCTTTAATATTGGCATTACTCAATCTGCCATTCCTAATTTTACCGAACATCCATCAAAACATTCTCATTTTCACACATCCATCTAAATATTAACATTTCCACCAAGCTCAATTTGACTATTAATGACATTTTCATTGTCCAATACTCTATCCATACAACATAACAAGCCTAATTGCAAATTTATGAAATTTATTTTTCATTCTTCAGACACAACCCTCCGAAAGCACCTCTCCATTTTAATATGCATCAATAAATACACTTTTCTGCATAATAGATTTTCTATGCAGACAAAAAAAAAACAATATTGTCATCCATGAAATCACATAATGCTCTACATGGCACGCCTAGTTTGTATTTGTACAATTCCTTGACATAGCGTCCCATTAGGAGATTAACACTTCCAGCAATCCTACAGAAAGGACATTTTATCATACTGGTTTCAGCAAATCTCATCTTGCCATTCCTAGAATCGTACAAAAACCGTTCTTGAAGATAAAACTCAAAAGTGCATCCTTACCTTCTTTGCAACTGTTTTGTTATCTTTCTTTCCCATGAATAACTTCTCCAAAAGCTTGTGCAGGAAGTGCCCGAAAGGTCCACCATATGCAAATCCAAAGATCTGGATTTCTTAATGTTAGCAACATATGATAAGTTCTTCAAGGAAATAATCTCTAACAAACTGCAACTACCAATTCACATCATTTTAAAGAGCATTGAAAGAAACACCAAAATTTTGATGCACATAATGTTGCTCTTTTTATAATAAAATACAATTTAAAATGAGTGCATAAAAAAACATAGCAAAACAAACTTTTAAAAGATGAGATTAATTGATACCAGAGTTAATCCAAAGAATATTAGAAAAACAAATATTATTACTGAAAAAGTCAAATAGACGGTTACAACCAAACACACACTTAAATAGGAAATAACTGTACAGCACAGACTCACACTACGGTTGGATCCATGGGTGGTGAAGGCCGGCTAGGTGGTCCAGATGTAGTGGGAGGGAGCTGGAATGAGGTGGATGAGGAGCTGCAGCAAGTAGGGGCGGTTGGAAAGGCAGTGTGTGGCCAGAAACAGCAGGGGGGTGGATACTGGATAGCTGGTCGGCAGCGGCAGAGGGTGGTAAGGACAGCTGGCGGCAGCAGGTTTGCTATTTTCTGGATGGCGGCAGCGAGGAACGGCAATTTGCCGTGATTTGGGGAGGTAGTGGAAGGGTAGAGGTGGTTGTACTAAGTAGGAAGAATGGTTAGGCTGCAGGGAGGCAACAAGGTTGTTGTCTTTAAGAAGAGGGATGACTACAACGGTATCAACGACAACAGCGGCAGCGAAGGTAAGGTTACGGAGGGTGAGGCGAGACACACCTCGGACAAGATATAGACGGCACATCACTCGTCGTCAAATACAACCCTAAAAGGGAGAACCTGGACCCTGACGGCTGTCCTTACAGAGAAGCAATCAAAACCAACCCTGCAACATCAAAAAAGTAAATATATAAAAATAAGATAATAAGGAATGGCCTAAGAGGACGGGTCAACTCCACACTCACGCAAAAACCTGGACCGGTTTGGTAATGCAATGCGTCAGTGTGACTGTTGTCACGCCTCTGGGACATTGCTGCATCCATCTCCCAGGGTTAAGTGAGCTTCAATATTATTTGTCAAAAATTTGTCTCCTAATAGTGGACAAATCGGCCACACTGAAGGTAGCAAAAAAGTTGCAATCTCCAAGTAAGTCAATCCTAAAGGTGTTTTCATTTCAAAGCGCAACAAGATAGGATAAGTATACCTCTTTGAGCACAATCAGAATTGGCACTATAGATATAGGAGTATTCTCACGAATCAGGTCTCCAGCCATCACATCTGTAAACTACTTCTCTCACTTCTCATGTTCGACTGAATGTATCTGATAAACAAGTTTGTTAGAAGGAATCGATTCTGGAATGAAGTCTATGACAAACTGAACCACACTGAAGTATAACCACTCACAAGAGGTCTCTTCTCCTCTGATAGGGCCTAGATCCTATTATAGGATTTTCTCTCCCACCTAGCTCCCAAGGCAGTTTCCAACGTTGTGTTTCATCCATTTACTACGACCAACTATTGGTGGGTGCATTGCTGAACAAAATTTAGTACCCAAATGACTCCATATGGTCTTCCAAAAGCAACTCAAAAGCTTTTCATCACTGACAAGTTGAACTTCACTTAGTAAGGGCAACTCAAGAGGTAGACTAGATATCTAAAAATTTTGAAATTCTCTTCTCTGAGGTTGTCATGTGTCTGGTGTGTGGCCAGAAACAACAAAAGGGAGGGATGGATAGCTGGTCGGCAATGCAAAGGGTGGTAAGGATGGCTGGCCAGGTTGTGACAGTGATGCCTGAAGGCTGGACCGCAGAAAAACAGCAAGTTTGATGTTTTCTGGATGGAGGCAGCAAGGAACCCCTACTTGCAGTGATGTCGGAAGGTTGTGGAAAGGTATATGTGGTTGTGCTGGGAAGAAGGGTTGGGTTGCAGAGAGGAAGAAAGGTTATTGTCTTTGGGGAGAGGGATAGTTGCAGCGGTGAAGGCGATGATGGAGGCAGTTGTGACTGGGATGATGGCAGCAGCGATGACGACATCGGCGGCGGCAACAACGACGGCAACAACGGCAACGGAAAACAAGTTGTGGAGGGTTGGGACAGTCAAGGATAATCACCATCTTGGACAAGATAGAACCGGAGCACCACCCATCATCGGATACAACCCTGAAGGGAAAACTTGAATGTTGATGGTTGTCCTCACAGAAATGCAATCAAAATGATCCTAAGAAATTAGAAAAGTAAATATATAACAATAAGATTACTAGAAGTGGCCCAAGATGATGAGTCAACTCCACACGCACGCAAAAACCTGGACATGTTTGGTACGAGCACAAAAAAGACGATCGTAGGAGTATCGCGTGTAGGAAGTGATTTTGTTCAACATTTTAACGCCCACATCAGTGCGGTTGTTGTCAACCCTTGGGATGCTACCGCGTCATCAATTCTCTGCAAACTCATGTTACAACGATCAAGATTCCACTTCAATTTTGATTGACCACAGATTTAGGCCGATTAAAAAGCAAAGGCACCGCTCAAAATATAATAAAAGAAGTCTTTGATAAAATTGATAAAGCAAAAAATTGGCCAAACTTCTGCAACAACATTTAAGCCTAGAGGTTTGCCAAAAGACGGAACCATAATTGAAAAAAGAAAAACTTCTAACATTTAGGAGAGAAAATTTTTAAAGATATTATTTTATAAAAATTCAATTTCTCATTAAGAAATTAAGAAAATTAATAATGCTTCACCACGTCTAGCCAAACTCCCCCATCAACACACCAACGGAACACCCAACTTGCTAGTCAGCCAGATCAGTGCTAAATTATAAAAGCTTAAACATCAACCAACCTTTACTTTGAAGGCAGCTTAGCAAGACGACATTTAATATGCATTTGATTAGCAGAGGGGAAAATAATATGTCAAATGAAAGCCTTCTCTCCTTGATTTTTCATAGTGTTCAAACACCTGTCATAACCATTCTAGTCTCTCTCAATCTCATCCAAGTCTCATTTAGCTTTCTTTTTTCGCTTGCTTCAGTGCTACTCGATCAGACTTCCTACTATATGAATGTGAAAAGTTCTCTATCAAGCATGTCAAACATTTAATAATGATTCTAGCACTTGCATTTGAAATTTGAGAAATTTACATAAGTAGCACATAATTGTTATGTATTTATATATCTCAACCTATACTTTCATATTTACATACATGGCATTTTGATGGTCTAAATCTATGCATGAAAAGGTGTTTTCATTTTTAAAACGTGGCAATAGTGTTATTTTTTATGTGATATTAAAGTTTTGAATGTTATGTGTGTAAATATGAAAGTTTAGGCATTGGATATGTAAATTCATAAGAATTGTGTACTATGTATGAAAATGCCCCTTAAAATTTATGCATCATAATATAAATGCTTGCAACTTTTAAACATCATAAGTCAGAGGACCACCTCTTAAAAAGATGATAGGAGATGCATTTTAGATAAGAAAGACAGGCAAAATGAAACCGCTGAACAAAACATTGTAACTAGCTGACACTTAAAATAATGTATAATGGTGTTAGGCTTCTTTTATTTCACATATAAAATATTGTAATCCATTGATGCAAAACAAAAGAATAACACAATGCATCATGAATATAACTATTAATTCCCTTTATAATAACCAAGGAAAAATTCTCTTGCTTTCTCTTTCTTGCGCTCTTATATATCTCTTGCCCTCACTTTCTCTCACTCCCTCTAGGTCTCTCACACTCTCCATATCTCTCAATATATCTTTTCTTTGGCTCACACTCTTCTATATCTTTTTCTCTCTATCTATTGCCAACTATGTTGTTCTCACTTTTCCTTCTCTTACTTGTTCTTCTCGCTCTCTATCTCCCTCCGTCCCACTATCTCTCTCTCCCACTCCCATGCTCCCTCCCTCTCTCTTATTCTATCTTCCCCTTCCCTACCTCCCTTCCTTTATTTTACTCTCTCATTCTCCCACCCTCCCCTCTTATTTGGGTGGTATAATTATAAAAAATATAAGTTTAGGTATTACATATGTAAATACAAAGAATTTGGGTGGCATGTATTAAATATCCCTAAAATAAGCACCTGAGGTGTGGATGTGAAGCACGGAACAATGGGGACCATGATGAAGCGCGGAACAATGGGGACAACGATTATGTAATCTCACTTCTCACGCATCATTTAATCCCACATCAAGAACGACGAAAACTTAGTTGTTAGAAAACTTTTTAAAAAGGATGGGAAGGATTTTCCATCCAAGAAAAACCGAACGGTGTGGATGGGAAGCCCTATTCATTAAAAATAATTAATTTTTTTAATTTATAATAACAATTTAATTAATCACATATTTTAGTCTCATGAAATGAGTAAATGAAATTCAAGCAAGACATGAGCTTAATTCAAACAAGCGAGTTTGAATCGAGCAAACACAAACAGATTATTCATGAGTCATTTCGAACACAAGTCGAACAAGAACAAAAAAAATAAACAAATCGAACACGAACAAGCCTTGGGCTCGCTCAAGCTTGGCTCGTTTACACCCCTAAGCATAATTATAGTTACTTTTTTGTTTCTATCATTCTTTTACTCATTAGGGAAGAGTATAAGGTCCAGTTTTCAGCATTTTTCTCGTGTGTTTCAAATAATGCTCACAAAAGTTATCAAATTGTTGAGTACATAACAAGAAGAGTCATCATCAGTTTTCTTTCCTTCATCCTACCCCTCTACAATGGCTCTTTGGTTTACTCCCTACAAGCTTAATTTATGTAATTACAGCCATAAACATCATACTAGCCTATTGAGATCGGCGGTGAGAACAAGCAAAGTTTATTTGCACAAGTCCTGAGGCAAACTTAAGCATAGTTTGCATATCTCTAAAATTTATTCTTAAAGTGAAGCTTGACTTTAAAATTTTATAGCATAACCCTACATAATTTGCCCCTGGCACCATCTCTACATGCATCATGAGGTAGAACTATCAGCACATGCAAGAATAATGTTACTTATTGATAACATTCAGCTTTAA